ATCAGAGTGTTCCATCTCATTTCCCTTTGGGGTTGCTGTAGGTGACCTGGAAGTCTGGTTTTGAGACTTATTTACGTGTTTTCTCATTTCGACTGGGGCGGGGGCCTGTTAACGCCTGCACGGATTATGTCCTCTGAGCTGGGAGAGGTGGGACAGGGGCTGGAAGCAGTGGTAGGGATGGTGGCCCAAAAGCCCTTTCCTATGGGCTGGGAGCAGCGGGAGGGATGGTGGCCAGGAAGCCCCTTCCTCTGTTCCAGGAGCAGTGGGATGGCGGCTCAGAAGGCCCTCCCTCTGGGCCGGGAGCGGTAGGAGGGATGGTGGCCCGGAAGCCCCTTCCTCTAGGCCGGGAGCGGTAGGAGGGATGGTGGCCCGGAAGCCCCTTCCTCTGGGCCAGGAGCAGCAGGACAGAAGGTGGCCCAAAAGCCCTTTCCTCTGGTCTGGGAGCAGCAGGAGGGATGGTGACTGGGCAGCCCCTTCCTCTGGACCAGGAACAGTGGAATGGCAGCTCAGAAGGCCCTACCTCTGGGCCGGGAGCAGCGGGACTCAGTACCGTGGTCTGGTGGTCTGGTGTCCTCTTCGTCTTTGTAGTGTGGAACCAGGAGGCTGCCTGTCTACAGCGGGGTGATTCGGTGCCTTCCGCGCAACTCGGGACCTCTCTACAAGTATTTCTATAGAATGTTTCTTTAGCTATTAAATTCTCAATTTCTTCAAGTCTAGGGCCTTTGCTATAGCATTATGTAGATGTTGGTAATTAGCCCCTCCTAGTAGGACAACTTTCTGCGAGGTCATATTCTTTATTTATTAGCCTTGGGTCTATGGTAATATCTCCTACTCTCCTGGTCAGTCCCAGCAGAGTCCCAGCAGGGCACATGGTGACTACAGAACAGCACATGGGAAGTCCTAGGTTCATCATCCTGTGCCTACTGAGAAGCCGGTTCTGTTCTGTGCCTCCGGGGCCAGTCCCTGAACACAAGAGAACACTGAGAGAAACTTAAAGCTTGCTTCTTCATCATAAGTATTGTTTATCTTATAAGGTAGAGAAAAATCAAGCTGTAGTGTGGTCTTATATTTTTTTGTCTAACAGAGGATATCAAATCATGTTCTATTACAAACCTCAGAATGCCTGGGTTAGTTAATAAATGCGTACTCTCAGTTTCTGGTGTCCCTCCACTGGAATAGAGCATAAGGACTCACCCTCTTAATCACCTCGTCACTTAGGGATCTTAGCTAAATGAATATTTATCTGAGTGCACATCCTTAATAGTCATGATCAACCTAAAATCCCCTTTACTGGCAGGTATAATTTGACCTTTACCCAGTGTTGGGTTTTCTATTCTCTTGCCCAGTGTTTGCTTTACCTAGGTGGAGCTCTGTCCCTCTTCTCTTTTCTGGCTAGTTTTGGGCAGCCCATCTGTTCCACTGGTGACTATTTGTTCAGGGCTGCACCACACAGAGGAGAAGCAAAATGTTACGGGGCCAGGGAGAGCTAGGAGCAGTCATTCTGCCCAGGCAAGGGAAGGCCCCAAGGTGGTGGCGTCTGACCTGGGACCAAGAGCAGCAGGTCACAGGTATGAGATGGGGGAGGACAGAGTAGGCAGCCCACACTGAGAACCTCATGCTGGGCCAAGGGCCTCTCAGCAGCACTGGCTAGGAAAATAATTGCCTTTAATTGCTTAAACTTGGAATCAATTGCAGTGATGTATTTTTGTCCTAGGGATATATTTTTCTGTAGGAAGTGAGTGGTTTCACTTGGAAAGTGTAATTGTTTTTTTCTTTTTAACAAGAAGGCTTTATTTGCAGTTATCATGTCTGTTTTAACCAAATGATTCAGAAATAATCTATGCAGTCTCTCAATCATTGTAACTGTGTGTTTTCTTTGGAAGGGTTTGATAATGAGCTAGATGTACTAAAACAAAAACATGAGTTCATCATTGAAAAAAAGCTTTTCGCTATACACAATTGTCCAAATTTCACCACTAGTTAAAGGAGGTGTGTATTAATCTATGAGGAACCAGGTGCAAAAGAGCGAATTAGATTAGTGTTATAATGTGTAGATTGAAAAGTAGCTGTGGTGTGATCGATTCTGTCATTTGGTTTGTGTCTTTCTATTAAAAGTGAGAATCTAAAAGAGGGGAATGGAATTAATATGAGAAAACGAAAAAATGGAAACCAAGTCTTTGTAAATAGGGAGGGATGGAGGGGTTGAAGGGAGGGTAGGGGGTGGGGGAAAAATAAGAACCAAGGGACTATGTAAAGGTGCAAACCTCCAGTGATGAATGTTATTATGTTGTACACCTGAAATGTACCAATAAAAGGATATACAAAAATAAATAAAAGTGAGAATCTAGAGATAGAAGAAGTTAAGCCAGCTGCCCAAAGTCCACAGGGTCCCTCTCCTAAGGCTACTTTTCCCTTTACACCCCCTTTCTCATCTGGATGTAACAGGAGTCTACATGTCACAGACTACAAAAGCTTTCTTTCATCATGTGGTCTTTAAGTCTTTTCCACTGAAATGTACCCAAAGAGCTACATGGGCCTTGATTTACATAAAGGACTTGAGCTGGTATAGTTACTCAGATTGCAATGAGTACTTATTTATTTGATAGAATGTTTTTATTGAATCTCTCAAAGCAAGGTGACTAATAGATTCCACATTTTATATACTGTTACCTGTATAAACAGATCTTTGCCTTTCAAAAATGTAAGGCCAGAATATATTGTTTCTTAGTTACTATAACAGGATTTATTTTCTTTACCTTAGGATACTTTTGACTTCGGTGACATTGCTGTCTATATATTCAATAAACCTTCTGTTGATCTGCTCTAAGGAAACAGGTAAGCTGAGAAGGTGTATAATTTTATTAAAGCCAAGGTGAATGATTTTCTTGTTGATTTTGTGATGAGATGATGTTTTCTCTGTTCAGCAACTTGATGATTGAAAATAAAGACTGACTTAGACCTACAGTAACTGGAAGACTTATTCTGGTATTTACCTAAAGAAACAGGCAGCAACATTTAAATTGTCATGAACAGTGAGAAAATAGTGTTGTCATTGGAAGTGAACATCAACTGTACTTGTTTTTCTAGTTTAAGATGACTTCATTTTAAAGGGTTCAGTTTTTCCTCATGTCTTTGTAAATTCTAAACAAATACCCCATGTTTTCATATCATAACCTCCAAGGTTTTAAAAGTAAATAAACCTTTTATTCTCCTTTGTGCATATTCCAAGGAGAAAATGTTACTCTTGAGGGTGTGTGGGAGGAACTGACCTGCCTGAGGACGTAAGTTCCCTGGCAGTATAATACCTGAAGTGCTTATTTTCTATTTCTGGGACACTGGATTATGTTTGTAATACTTTGACTTTTACATTAGCTAAAGCCACATTGGCCAGCTATTATTGTATATAGATGACTGGAACATTTTGTAATAAATTCAGGATATAGCCATTGTCTGCTTTAAACACCAGTCTTAGGAGAGATTAAACAAAAGTTTGATTATAGCTTGGCCGTGTTGCTTTCTGTGAACCTTTTGAAAACATGAACTAAACTGTCATGAAGAAAAAGCAACACTGAGAGTATCAAATTCTAATGAATGGTTTAGAATTTTAGGACTTGTTGAGATGAGCTGGTTGACCACTTTAGAATTTTGCTGTAGTCAATTTACTCATTAAACAGATTTGTGTGCTGCTTTCTTTTGGGAGTTGCATATTTTTGAACTGAATTTTGCAAATGATCAGAATTCTTATGTGGTGACTATTAGATGTTTCTAGTGTTTTAGAACAAGAGGGATCTGCGCTGGGGATTTAGCTCAGTGGTGCTGCCACCTGCCTCGCAAGTGCAAGGTACCAAGTTCTATCTCTGGTACCAAAAATATATAGAACAAGAGGGATAGGTAGGATGCTATGAAGACAATTCTTTTTTAGCCTAATCAGTTCAGGTAATTAATTCAACAGGAACCTTTTTGCCTCAAACATCAGGATCTTTTAAAATCAAATCTTTCAGTGGTACACACCAAATTTGAGAAAAAGATCAGAGTGGGAATTCCCAATCCTGCACCCCAACCCCAAGTTAGAGATAGTTAAAAATAAACCTTATGACCTAATAGTTCATGCTTTTTCAGCCAGCCTGAAAAAGGAGAAATATTAATCGTGTGTAACATTTTAAAATGTCAGGCAGGTTGTTTTATAATGGCAATGCCTTAACTCTTGCAAAACCAAGATGGCTATTTATGTGAGTTTGAGAAAGGTATCAAATAACATGGGGGGTGGTCAACAGAATGAAATGTTGGCTGTTTTTACTTTAGAACCTCGTTGTTTCTTGTGTCCTCAAATTTCATTTTTAAATAGGCTGCATGGTTTATGAAAAGCTGGGAGAACAAGTCTTTGGCACTACAGGGAAGCTGCTAACCTTTGGAGCCACTGCTCTGCAGAATATTGGAGGTAAGAAGAACATACTTTTCTATACGTAATTCTAAAGTATGTGAATACTATTGTCTTTCTAATTCTGGGGTTTGGGTGTCCATATAAAATTCAACATAATTCAAATAGCAATCATCTGGTTGCTAAAATGGAACATGGGAGGTAGAGCATAGATAGTGATCACTTATTTAAAGCCAAATACCCTGCGGGGGTAGCTAAAGGTACCTTTGTGTCTTATTGAAGGTTAGTCTAAGAGCAGGCTGGTAACTTTTCTTATAGCTTGCAATTGTGAGCCTTAGTATCATCTTTCTAAAAATGTTCTCATTTCCTTCTAGCAATGCTAAGCTACCTCTTCATAGTAAAAACTGAACTGCCTTCTGCCATAAAGTTTCTAATGGGAAAGGAAGAGGCATTTTCGTAAGTTATAGACTATTTTTTTGTGATACAACTAAATGTTTTAATTTAAATGCAGGCTAACCAATGTCTTTGTTTTATGAAAATTGCAGAAACAAAGCTTTTTTTGTTTGTTGTTTTAACAATAAATCTCTTTGGGGTTATATAAATAAAAGAAGCTGGAGGAGCCATTTGATATGAGCATTTAAAAGGTGCACTCATCTGCTGTAGTGCAAACAATAGATAGTCCATTTTCCCAAGGGCCTGAAATCTATATCTAGTTTCTGTGGAATAAAACAGAGAGAGAGAGTATTTTTTAACATAGAAGTAGAACATATAAAAAAATTAAGACCCTAGCCTCTTTCTTAAAGAAAGCTTATAGCATTTGGGGAGCAAAATTTGTATAAGCCAAGCTCATTAAAGATGTAGCTAACCCTGGAAAATGTTGCCAGCTCCATTTGGCACAATTATGTTTGGATTGTCTTGTTTAACAGTTTTTGTCAGTGTTAGTTTGAATAGATAAGTGTAGAAGCCAGAGTTCCTAGTGTTCCAGCCTTGGGATTCAAGGTCAGATCCAGGGGATCAGGGAGAAAGAAATGCCTACCTGTGGTGACTCAATTCTCACTGATATTAGCCAAGCAAAACAAAAAAGAACTTTCTCTTTCAATAATTGATAGGACAAGTTTTAATCCGACAGAATGCAATGTATGCATTCATCTTTGAAAACACAAATAATTCAAAGGAATGCCACATTTAGCCAATGAGAGAGGGGGAAAGAAACAATACCCCTTCTTCCATTACACAGGCATGAAGCAGTAGTAAAGGGATAGTGGTTGGGTCAAAGTGTCTGGATAAAACCTGAATAGTGATCAAACATTTGATGGTAAAATTAGTAATAAAAATTAACTAAAATATGTCACGAAATTTTACATTCGAAGGGGAAAATGTCACTTTCTGAACAAAAACTATAACCTAGCTGCTTTCCTGCCTTTCAGACCCTGGTATGTGGATGGTCGATTTCTGGTGGTGATAGTTACCTTCGGCATCATTCTCCCTCTGTGTCTCTTGAAGAACTTAGGTAAAGAAAGATCTTGACTTCATCATGGTGTCTCCAGTGCCCAGACGAATCAGAAACCTAATAAAAATGAACACTTTTGCCTTCTACTTCCAGTTGTAGAGTAATAATTAAGTGAATCATAAATTACAAGTATAAATCAGGCCCAGCATTACTGTCAAATGTAATCCCACTTAACTAGTGGTCAAAGCCAGCCTGGGAAACTTAGTTAGATCATGTCTCAAAATAAAAAATGAAAATAAAAAGGGTTGGAATGTGGCTCAGTGGTGGAGTTCTTGCCTAGCATGCATGAAGCCCTGAGTTCCATCCTCAGTCTGCAAACAAAACTAAAGAAAGCAAAATCAGTGCTGGTGTGTATGTGATTTCCTAAATAGTCCCTCTCCATAGCTGGAAGGCCTGCAGAGAGGTCTTGAGGCCTAGACGGATAACTACAGTTTCCGACAGCACAGCTTACAGGCTGCTCTACGAAAAGTCCAGAAAATGGAATTCTCACATGAGGTCTTAAATACTCTGATTATTTAGACAAATAGATTTTAAATCTAATATCAAGACACAGTTGCTTAAAGGTTTATACACAGAAGTATATGAATCACTCATAAATTTAGAATCTAGCCAAGCTAAATGATTTCTCTTGCTGAATGGAGAGAGTGAAATTTAAAGTTAAAAATGACAGATGATGTCCAAACCAAGTCATATCCATTTGGTTTTGACATTGTTTCTGTGCTTATATTTGGAGACTGGTATGCCCGGTGCTTTGGGAATTTCACACGTCCAGTAATGAGCCCAGGTTTCCATCCAGTCATAAATCTCAAAGATGCATTTTCTTTAAATCTGACTTAATTCAAGGCAGAAGTATGGATTAACATCTTCCAAAAATGATTGTAAAACACAGAGTTTTTATTTTTGTTTTGTTTTGCTTTGGTCTAGAAATGTCAGATTTTGATAGCTTCTATGGAATTTATAAATAGATTTTTTTAAATTCATTACTTTCTCGTCTCTGAGTTTGTATGTAGGCCCTATCCATATGCATAGCAGTAGCTCTAGCAGTTTTCAGAGAGGGCCCTTCCTAGGAGGCTGCAGGCTATAGCGGCACAGTGGGAGCTCTCCTGGCACTGGAAGGGGAGGGAGTGAAGATCCTCAGAGGGTCTGTTGATCTCTAGAAATTCACATCATCTCTTCCCTGCATGCCTCTCATCTGAGGAGGGAAGTACTACAACTGACATTCAGTAAGCACACAGTAAGTTCCATCCAGAGGCTCAGGGAGTAAATGGATTTGCCCATAAAACTCCATTACAGTCCAGTGACTCACAGACATGGGGCCAGAGTGGGAGGATCCTTTTCCCTGGATTCTGGGAATCTACATTCTCTTTTCTTTTCTTTTTTTTGGTACCAGGGATCGAACTCAGGAACTTGAGCTTGGAAGGCAGGCGGCCGAACCACTGAGCTAAATCCCCGGCCCCAAAATCTACGTTCTGTAGTGTGCCAGAAAGCTCTGGACTCAGCACAGAGTTTAATCCCCTCAATCAAAGCCTCCTGTTTTTTGCTAAACAAAGTAGCACAGTCAAATAATAAATCTTAGCCAGCCACCCATGGTGGCACTTGCCCGTAATCCTAGTACTTTTTGAGGGATTGAGGCAGGAGAGTTGCAGGTTCAAGCCCAGCCAGGCCAACTTGGCAAGATCCTGTCACAAAATAAAAAATACAAAATTACTGGGAAGTATATCTCAGTGCAGAGACTGTGGTTTCAATCCACAGTACCACAAAATAAATAGGTTAATAAGCAAATAAATCTCAAAATACAGTGGCATATATGCATATTATTAAAGTCCCAAACTATGCTTGAAGTAATGCATCAAAAAGTAAAAGTAATAAGCAAAACAATAATAGCAATTAATTTTTTCCTTTTAAAGGGTATCTTGGCTATACTAGTGGATTTTCCTTGAGCTGTATGGTTTTCTTCCTAATCGTGGTAAGTGCCAACTGTTGGTTTGTCCTTAACATAGTACAATGCAATGCAATAATTATTCATTATTTGGTTTTAATAAAATCTGTGTTTTCTTATATTTTTAAAACCAGGTTATCTACAAGAAATTTCAAATTCCCTGCCCTTTTCCACAGCTAAATTCAACAATAAGTGCTAATTCAACAAATACTTGTACACCAAAATATGTCACCTTCAACTCAAAGGTATGTTTCCCTGTCCTTAAAAGATAAACATGAGCTGGGCCAGGGGTTTAGCTCAGTGGTTCCGCTGCCTACCTCGCAAGCACAAGGACCCGAGTTTGATCCCCGGTACCAAAAAAAAGATAAACATGAGCATTTTTATTAACAGAAGTATATTTCTCATACTTGTAGTTACACTGTTTTGAATTTACTTATTCTTAAAAGAACACACAGTTCTTTACCATTGCTTCTGTATTCCACAATCCATTCAGAAACCATTGAGAAATACACAAATATTTCACCCAGCTTGTGACAACCTTAAGCATTCTCTGAAAATCTCTTTCTAGATAACAATTGTCCCAGCTCTCCCAGTGCTCTGAGGAGTACTAGGTGATGCTTTAAAATCAGATTAATAACATCTTTAGCCATATAGGGTGGTGACAAAAAAAATACTACAAACTTCCTCAGCTTGCACAGTAATAGACACCACCACAAAGGCACTTAAAAAACTTTGATACTATTAAGAGAGAGTTGAAGCTGCATTTGGTGGCACATGCCTGTAATCCTACCACTTTTTAGGAGGCTGAGGCAGGAGGATCACAAATTCAGCCCCAGCCCAGACTTAGTGAGATCTTGTCTCAAAATAAAAAGAAAACATTTTTTAAAGGGCTGGGAGCGTAACTCAGTGCAGAGGCACTGGGTCCAACCCCCAGTACCACAAAAGAAAAAAAAGAAAAGAAAAGAAAAGATAGAGTTGATAGTAAGGAAACAGTGGATTGTGCAGTCAAGTCAGGCTGGGATTTGAACCCTTAAACAAGTCATCCAGCCCCTCCTATGAACATGGGAATCCTGTTCTGCGTCTTCCAGGGTTTTGTGGAAATGTACCTGGTATGTGGCCTCAGCAAAATTAGATGTTACTTTTCCTTCTTCTCTACCAGCTCTTTTTTACATGAGAAATTATACTGAATTTGAGTTTTAAAATCTTATCTAAGAATACTAAATCTGTTCTCATTCTCTCTTTCAACTGTAAGGGACAAAGCAAAGTAGTGAGCTATAGAACAAATTTTCCTTTAGATGCCATCTTTTAAGTATGCTGGGTTTTTTTTTTTTTGAGATGGGGTCTCACTGTGTTGCTGAGGCTGGTCTCGAATTCCTGGGTTCAAGAGATCCTTCTGCCTCATCCTCCTGAGTAACTAAGAATGCAGGTGCATGCCACCACATCCAGCACTTTGAGTGTGCTTTGCTGCACCTGATGTAGCACAACAAGCAGGCAGTAGAGGTGGAATTCCTGGCCAAGTCACCTAACATGTTGCAGGGAGTCAGAGAATAGCCAGGACCTGTCTGCTGCGGGGACCCAGCAGATGATGGAGGAGAGGAGTCATGTAACTGCCATTGCCTGTGAGCATGGGATGGTGTGTGCCTGGGGTTTATAAAACACACTGTAGGAGCCAAATCTAAAGTCCTCTATGATAGGGGCCTAGTGGCCCAAGTTAGATAAGCCCTCTTAGAAAAGCTGCTCTTATTTTCATGACCAAAACCCTCCTAAAAACCAAATAATCTGGGGATTCTGAAGTGATATCAGATGAAAAAAAAAAAAGACAGCTCAGAAATACTCTATAGTTTTTATGGCAAAAACGTCTTTTCTTAATATTTATATTTTTTCTTTCAAATAGACCGTGTATGCTTTACCAACCATTGCATTTGCCTTTGTCTGCCACCCGTCAGTTCTGCCAATCTACAGTGAGCTTAAAGAGTAAGAGACATGATTTGTATATCTTAATTATTTTAAACCTCCTCATCAATAGGCGAGTTCTGTATTAAATAAAGATTTGTGAAATGAACCTGCATAGATTCATCACCCATCTTCAATATTTACTAACATTCTGCCTTTCTTGAGAATGAACTGCATTCAGAAAAATGAGAAAGCTCCAGTACTTTTAGCCATAAATATAGAAATTATCCAACCATGTGGGTTTTTAAATTAATTTGGTTCTTCAAATACTGTAGTATAGGGCCAGGGATTTAGCTCAGTGGTTTCGCCGCCTGCTGCGCAAATGCAAGGACCCGAGTTTGATCCCCGGTACCAAAAAAAAAAAAATACTGTAGTATATTAGGAGTGTTCAAGTATTTGTGTTGTTTTTTGTTACTTAGGCTTGTTTTGCACGTGGATGACAATCTTCAGATTGACCTGTAAATTGCAAAATGCATTGTCTCTGATTTGCTTGTTGGTTTGGGTAAAAAAGGCTGGAAAATCAGATGATAAGAAGTAAATGTTAAAACCACAAACTAGAAAAAAAATGTTCACCTCGAATTATTAAGATGATTCTATGGATTTATTCTTGCTTGTCACTTTAGAGAGGACTAAAAGCCTGCTTACATCAGACTTATTCTACGTAAATAGTCACGATGACATGCTGTTAAGCTCAGAAAAGATATATAAAATAGCTATTTACTTGCATTTTGAGATTTTTAAAAAGTTGAGGTCACTTAGCATTGAATTATTCTTCTTTCATATATAATTGATACGTAGCTAAATTTTGAGAAACCTACATATGTCTACATATCATTCTTCCTTGATGAGTTGTGTTTTGGAAATTTGAGTAGGTCTTGGCATCTCTTATGTCTAATATTCCAGCTTTTAGCATCCCATTATATCTCCATACGCCCTTGAGATCACAGGTTCTATTAGGACACAAGCAAATGTGACTATCTTTGTCCACCATGGAATACAAGTCTTGTGGGTTCATTATGTGAGCCACTAAATAAAATTAAAGATTATTCCAGCCTCAGCATAAACTTGACCTAAGAGGCATCTGTGAGCTCCTGGGCACTTACTGCTCTGAAGACAGACTTCGGGTGTATCCTGGGGCTGCTCACTGGGAAAGCAGAACCCAAAGAACAACTTCACGGCAGAGTCCCTGAGGTCAGATTCCTGTCTGCCACTGTCATGGGCCTGGGAGAAGAGCACTTGGGTTGCTTCTGCCTTGTTTCCTGTGTGTGGTCAGTGTGGGGATCAGAGCAGACACAGTTATTAAAGACACGGTCGGCCCCTCAGATGAGAACCGTTACTCTCATAAAAGTCTGGGGAAGAACACTGGAGGGAGTGCAGTTCATATCTGCCTCACAACACCCATGTGGTACTGAGGAAGTTACCCCTAACTACCATCATCGCTGCCCCAGCGTGACAGAGGGAAGGTGAAGTTAGTATATTCTTCAGGGTTAACCTTGGAGCTTCAATTCAATCATGTGGTTTTTAATTTTTGAAATTCCTTTATTTTTTTTAGTCGATCCCAGAAAAAAATGCAGATGGTTTCAAATATCTCCTTCTTTGCCATGTTTGTTATGTACTTTTTGACCGCCATTTTTGGCTACTTGACATTCTATGGTAAGTAACTTCTGCTGGTACATCCATACAGGTATTTGTAAATACATTAGTAACAGACAGTATCACAGTAACTGCTAATGTAGAGATCCAGGACAGCAACAAAGCTACCTGTTGGTTTTGTTTTGGTTTTTGTTTTCTTATAGCAAACGGCGATTCCTTTTATATATTCATGCAGACTGCAAAATGAAATAATTACCAAAGCAATATACTGGGGTTTTTTGCTCCTGGTAGTGTCCTTAAAAGAAACTGCATTTTTGAAGCATACCATCTTTACTTAGGAAAGTTTAAACTACATCAGAGAAGGCTTTCCTAATTGACACTGCAAACTGGGTCAGATTCCATTAGTAGAAAAGAGACAAAAAGATGTTGAAAGTGAGAAAGAGCCGAGTGCTACACTCATGACACTCTGCGTTAATTAAAAATAAAACACCTAATTGGTCACCGGAAGTTGAAGCCTTACAGAGAATGAAAGGAAAGAGCTAGAAAGTTAAAAGAAAAAACAATCTGAAAAAGAAAACAAGGTTTCATTTTTAATTGTTACTGACTCCATTTATACAGTTTACCTGCTTTTGCTACTTCTTATGCTCTCCTATTCAGATGATCCTGAGCTTTATTTAACACCTTTCCTTAGCATTACAACTTGGAACTCAATTTAAATAAATACATTTCATAGTCTCCTCTATTAAATAATATTTCTTTGGGGAATTTTTTTTATAAACAAATGTCTCAAAATTTAAATACATTTAAAGATGAATTCAACTTGGGGAGAAAGGCCATCCTGTATAGCTGTATTATTATTTCCCTAAGCAATAACATTATCTTACGAATCCCTACCTACATTTAGTTTTTTCATTAAAATGGTGCTTCTGAGGTTCCCGCAGAGCTGCAGGGCTGGGCTGGGCAAAGGGAAGGAGTGAGACTGAGGTGAGGTTAACGGAGTGGTCTTCAAGCTGATTTTTCTTGGTAAATTCATTTTTCCACATAAAACAGTATACCAAACCCTTATATATTCCTCCATGAAAGAAAAAGGCTCAGCCATTTTTAAGTTGTTATGAATTTTGAATTAAGAAAATTAGAACTAACGAGACTTTGATTATAAACTTTGGTTCTTATTCAGAAACTGTGGTTCAGATTAGAATTATAATTCCAGGCCTAGAACCTTGAGGTTGGTTTAGCGAGAAGCCCTGGAAAGAACACGTAACAGGAAATGATCTCTCTTCCAGAGAATGAGCATTTTTGTACTCTTCTGTGACTATCATTCCAGCACTGATAGTCTTTGAAATAACACTTTCTGAAGTTCTAAGTTGAGAAAAATTCAAAATAGTATCTATACAGAATACTTTTTTATGACAAAAGCATCCACAGAAGAGAATTCTTTCCTGCCGGTGGTGATGTTAGGTTAGTGGCTCTGCTGCATGGCCACTGAAATTTGGATTATAAGGGAAGGATCTGAAAGGAAGAAGCTCATGTGGCCCACAGTCCCTGTAGTAAGACTGTGACTGCTTGGTGTGGCTTCAAGAGCAGCTTCTGGTGGGGAAAGATCAAGAGGGGCTTTGTCCTTCAGCTGTGTGTGCTATTTAGTATAAATGAAGCATCCCTTTTAGCTGAAGTTACTGTGCACTGTGGAGCAGGTCTCCCACCAGGGATTTTTCCTTCAGTTGTAAAAATTGTTTTAATAGATACTTTCAAACCTTGTCTTCTTGGCCCTGTGGTTTGCAAATTCTTGGTTGTCCAGAAAAACCGTCATTCAGCACCACACTGTCTCATTTTAAAACCTTCTTTTCCCTTGTTTTAGAAAATGTGCAGTCAGACCTCCTTCACAAGTACCAGAGTAAAGATGACATTCTCATCCTGACAGTGCGGCTGGCGGTCATTGTTGCTGTCATCCTCACAGTGCCGGTGTTATTTTTCACAGTGAGTAAAAGCTTTGGTGCAACCTGAGAAAAACTGGGCTCTCGCCTTTCCTTCCGCCTTCAGGAGCCTGCTCTAGAAAGAGCTGCTCGAAGGTGACTTGCCTGGCCACCTGTACTGCATCAGGGAAGGAGCCCGAGATGCCATGCTCTTGGGACAGCACGTGGGGTCAGTGATGTAGCATAGCCTCCATGTGCAGAGCCTGAGTCCTGATGAATCTTCACACTGCGAAAAATACAGTGATCAAAGAATATGGTGAATGTTTAAACTTTTAAAATTTATTACAGTAAAATACACAGTGCTAGTAATTTTCCTCAAAATACTCCCCCTCACTTCACGCACACTTACTTCATCGTTCTTGCCATTTTCTGAAGCAGGTTTGGAAGTCTTCATGAGTGTCTTTAGTTGTGATGTCGTGACTACCTTGATGTCCTGAATCCATTCAAAACATTTACTTTTTGTGGTCATTTTGACTCTGGAGAAGAACCAGAAGTTTCACAGTGCCAGGTCCAGTGACGAGTGGATGAGGACACAGCGTAATGTTTTTACAATCCTGCCTTTCTGTTGGATGCATTCAGCAGCAACATTCACCATATTTTTGATCATACCTCATAAAGACACAACTGCTTCAGAAAGTGGCAAGAACAAGGAAATAAATGTGTGCAAAGCATGGAGTATTTTGAGGGGGATTGGTGGCAATATGTCTTTCTGTAATAAATATTCTAAAAAAATTCAAACACTCACTGTATGTTTTGATCACCCTGTGTACAAAAAAATACTTTCTAGTTTAAGTCAGCCCCCCCAACCCCATTTCTAAAACTGTTAAGTATCTCTGAATTCGCCAGACATTACAAAACATTTCACAAATTCCTGGCCATTGATAAGTCAGTTGCTGCTTGGAAATGTAAAGGTTAACATATTTAGGCTTTGACGGAATCTTTGTTTTCTCTTCCTGCAGGTTCGTTCATCTTTATTTGAACTGGCTAAGAAAACAAAGTTTAATTTATGTCATCATATCTTGGTTACCATCATACTCTTGGTTATTCTCAACTTGTTGGTGATATTCATCCCCTCCATGAAGGATATTTTTGGAGTCGTAGGTATGGCTTTTTTATTTTGTACCAATCATTCTATAACATATAGCAGCTTTGAAAGTTAAAATTTGAAAATAACCCCAAACTTTCTCCTTTCCTTTTTATTTTGCAGGAGTTACATCTGCTAATATGCTTATTTTCATTCTTCCATCATCTCTTTATTTAAAAATCACAAACCAGGATGAAGATAAAGGCACTCAAAGAATTTGGGTAAAGTCTCTTGCCAACCACTGTTTCTGATTAGTTTTCCATTTAAATTTACCAAAAAGTAGTCCATCTCTCTACCATCTACTACTACTGTCAGCTACTTTGAAAAAGGAGGAATTAGCCCTGTAGTTTCCTCTTTGGGTGATAAAAAATTTCATATCAGAATCTTCTCCGTTCCCTCAAAATGCTTCTCCTGGTTTTACCCTTATTATGCCTTAGCTTTTTTTTCTGATCCAGAGCAGGGCCAGCTAAGAGGATGGAGGTTTCTACCCTTGTGTCTCTAAAGGGCAATGCTTTGCCTTTAGCAAGACAGGACAGTAGAGGAGCTCAAAGGCTTGATGTAGTCCACTGCTGCTGTACAATTTCCTGTTATGTAACAGCTTTCCACAGCCCAGAGTACATGCAATGCGCCTTGAATGAAATGCCTGGAATTAGCTTAAAGGGTCTTTTATGATTTGCCAAATTTTTAGAATAAGCAGACCTGGATTCAAAAACTACCTTTCCATATGGGATTCTTATTTCCAGGTCTGTTGAGGTTCAAGGGCATCTTGAAGGTGGTGCTCTTGGAAACAGTGAGGGAAGCAGGGGTGAAGTGGCTGCTATGTGAGTCTCTTCTGGAGCACCATTTTGTTTGGCCTCAGAGAAGGCTTCTCAGCTGCCCTCTCAGATAATGTAAGCACTGCACTCGCACATGGTACCGAGTGGACAGACCCAGAGGAGAGAGAAGCATCACCATGCTGGTACAGGATCTGGTTCCCTGAGAGGATCTCCCTGAAGCCATAAATCCCAAATCCTTCTAAGCCCCAAATCCTTCTAAGCCCCACCTATTGGGTCCTCACAAGGACAGAGAGGAAGGAGCAGTCACCGTAGCACTGCAGTGAAATATATCAGATTAAATTTGCAAACGGCGGAGGCCTGTGGCCTGTGAATTCTCTGGGCCTCTCCTTCCCTGCTCTCGTGATAACTCTGGATCTCTCAACTAGCATTAGGCAATGGCTCTGTCTGGGCAGGGACTGCTGGAGTTAGACCGGTCAACCCACCACCTGCCTCCTCCTGTCCGCTTAGCTCCATCTCCCCCTTACTCCCCAGGCAAACCCTTAACTCTCAGGGGCCTACAGCCTCCCCTGTACTGCTTTGCTGCGCGTGTTCACAGCTGAATGACAGAATCTCCTGCTGGACCTAGTCCTCTGTGCTCCCCAGACCTTCATCAGCCCTTCAAGTAACTGGATTTTTGACACTTGTTTCCATTTCATTTCATCAGATCTACTTTGCATTTCCATGTGCAGTATTTGTTCCACTTTTCCAAACAGAAACATTTGTGTCTATTGATAGCCTAGGTTGCTAGGTCACAGGTGACAAAACAGCCTGGATACTTCCCAAGGCTCTTCTTCTTCCTTTCGTTTTAAATTATAATCTTAGTTTGAGAGAGAGCAGTAAAGACACCCACTCACTGGTAGAATGGATGCACATGAGGTGACCATGAAGTGAGAGGACACAATCCAAAGGATGGCTCACTTAGCGTGTTTTTCATACTTAATCCATTCTTGCAGAATTAGATTCACACAATTTGACAGAGTTTCACTGCTCAGCAGTGGTTAAAACAAACTTCAAATACAAAGGGACCCAAAGGGAAGGGAGGAAGATTGCTATATTTTTAAACACAGGTGCGTGTGAAAAATGCTAGATGTACTAGAAATAACCCATGCCTTTTTCTTGCTCTAGGCTGCGCTGTTTTTGGGTCTGGGGGTGCTGTTCTCCTTGATCAGCATCCCCTTGGTCATCTATGACTGGGCCTGCTCATCCAGTAGTGACAAACACTGCCACTGAGACCAGCTGAGAAAAGAAAACATTCTGGTCTGCTGCTCGTCAAGTCACCACACATCAGCACCCCCCCTCCACTTCTTCTTCAAGCTTACAGAAGCAGACGGAAATGTGCAAGATACTTCAAATGGAATAACACTTCGGGTGCAAAACAGAAACCTGTATCTAACAGTTCATGTCCCTGCAAGATTTGGGATTTCTTTAGGGATTGTGGATCCCCTCTCCCACCTCCCAGATTTCATAGAATCATATTTTCTAGTACTTTTGTTTCACAAGTAATTATTTTCATTCTCCTAACTCTGTGTTTTGTGGCTTCCTGGTCTCTTAGAACTTTACAAACATGATCATCAATCATGTTTATTTATTAGACATCCAGATTCTGAGATAATTTTCCTACTGATGTTCAGCTCATAGTATCTGTACCTTTTTAGAAAAGAGTCTTGAATTGTATATATTTATTTTGCTTTACAGGGAAAAAAATGGTTTCATAAATAATTTGCTTATTTTGGTTAACAGAGCACACAGGGATAATCCTATGAGAGTCACAGGGTGTGTGCGGTTGCTGGATCCGAGCGTGCCCAGTGTTTGAGGCGGCCCCGATCCAGGCTATCCAGTGGTCTGCTGATACTAAATGAAGTTTTCTTTCCCTCTTGGCATCCTGGGTCAGAATTACTCTACTCGGAGTCAGCTTTTACTAAGGGAGACCCAGGGCACCTGCAGTGAAAAGATTGTTCAAAATTTCTGAGAGAGTATTCCTCAGACAAGGATGGCCTTTAGCCCTACACCTATACTGGTTTTTATTTTTTGTGGGTTTTTTTTGTATTCTTTTATTGGTACATTGTAGGTATACAACACAATTACATTTCTTATTGGGAATTGTACCTTTACATGATGCATCTTGGTTCTTATTTTTTCCCCATTCCTAGCCCTCCCTTCACCCCCTCCACCCTTC